ACCCATTATATGCAATTATAAATTTTATTGAAATTTTTAAACATTCCAGCGAATAATGTAAACGTTGCTCCATTATTTAAATTTTAAATTCAATCTTGATAATTTTTAATAAAGACATTTATAAAATATGAAGGCTAAGTTCTGCACGTCGACATTTTCAAAAATGTAAAAAAAAAATAACTTTGATAGATGGCTATATTTGGTTAATCTTTTTCCGCAATTTTTGGTAATTTTCGAAAGACCGTTAATCGTAATAACTTCTAAAAATAGCATTTTCTTTGAAAGGCTTCTAAAATTCTTGAGGCTGAACAGAAAAATTATAGGAAATTTTTGAATGAGAAAAAAAAGCCTCATTGCTATTTTAGGGCAATTCATTGTAATTTGTGTATGGTCCCGGTAAAGTATTTTTTTTTTTTTTGCCTCAATGATTTTTTATTTAAGGACAAAAAAATTTCTTCATTTTTTTAAAAAAATAAACGTCCAATCCAAAATGAAAAGAAAAAAAAATTATCTTATAAAATCCTGATTTTTCTTTTCTTTTCTTTTTTTTTATTAAATCCATTCAAATGACATCCTCATGAATGTTGACAAGATTTTCGAGTTTCTCGATCGTAAGGTTTTACTACCTGCTTATTATTGAATCGATTTAGTGTAAATTTCAGCGTGGTTTCTTTGTAGAAGCATTTTGAATTACAAAACTTCTTCGCTTGCCTCCCAAATGAATCGAACCTAAGAGTCATCATTCCAACCCCTACTTCAAAACCACTATTTGAATTCATTAAAAACTTAAGGAAATGACAATTCTTATGGAACTCTACGAAACATTTCCGAACAAAAAACAGCATTAATTGTCCAAGAAACTTTTAAATGATAATGAAGCATTCTTGAATGATTATTCAAACGACTTGTACTTTCTTGGAATACAATGTACCATATGTCATCTTTCTTCCATATTACTCAGCTATGATCATGAGTATGTGACATTCCACAATTAAAAAAGTTTGACATTTAAATGCGCGGATATACCTCGGGATTATTTATCAAGTTCCAAGAAAATCATGGAAGGAATTTAGATAAACTCACCTGTGATAATATACGTCGAATTTTGAGTCAATTTCTGCCCAATATTAAAATATACATTTTCGGAGTTAAAGGCGATTATCAGGAATTAAATTAATAAATATCTTGAATCATTTGTTTTAACTTTAGCTTTTCTCTTATTTTATATTTCAATTCAACAAATGGCCGGTCTGATAACAAAAAAAAATGGGATGATGATGAAAGACTGATATTTTAATAAATTTTGGGGGAATATCATTTTCCGACCATAATATATATAATATATATAATATATATACATATTAGTAATCTTTACTTTCTTAAAATCCTTTACATTTTTCTACAAATGCTAGTAAATAGCATGGAGTATCCTTTTTAAATGATAATAAAATAAAACTATTTTAGCTGTATTACAATACTATTTTTTATTGTCTAAAAATTATTTAATTTCTGAACCTTATAAATTGTATTATTCACGTGATTAAATAAAAAGTCTGCTCGATGAAATTTTTTTTTTTTTTATTTAATTATGGAAATTTCAAAATTTATATTTATTCAGATTAAAACTTTTTTATGCCTAAGCTTTCGAAGGGAAGAACAAGTTGAAGCAAACGTTCACATAAGTTATATTTTTTTTTTTTGCTTAAAAAAAACCCCCCTCATTTTATGTAATTTAGCAATTTACTAAAATACATTGTCGGATATTCTCTTGTTAAATACCTATAAACCTTCCTTAAAGCGCTCTAAAAAAATACACGAATTATAATTGTGCTCATATTTGAATGGAACGACGCTGGTTTCAAGATGGTATTAACAAAGCGTAAGGCAAAATACCAGACAACGGTTCTGAACGACTGTAAGCATATTATTTGAATTACTTCCTGAAATTTCACAAATGATAATTTTAGCTATAGACAGTTTCTTGATTTATTTTTCTTCTCGTCTTTATTTGTAAATAAATTAGGCATTACGTCGATGATGTTCCGGTGAATTCGAAAGAAAAGAAATCAGTTATAGAGCTTAAAGAATGAGAAATTCGCTTAATTTCAATGATGATTGTTTTATATTCATCACTCATTGAAATGGTTTCATCAGATTGACTGAAGCGACAAAAGAAAAAGTTATCTTCATTCATTAATGCCGACCAAAGGTAACATCTGGAGTTTGGACTTTTGTTGATCATTGGTACTTTCCCGCATTAAATCGATACCCAAACGAATTTCCTTTTTTTTTGCTAACATTAATTTTGTTGGGCGAGACAAGATCCTTCTCTATTATCGGCCAATATTACCAACATTACGACAAGGCATCTTTTCTTGTTTCCGCATCTGAAAATAAGCGTTCACTTGGAATAATGTAGCAGTTATAGGAAGATATTAGCGTGCTCATTCAGATAAATTAAGAACACCATTGTTTCATTCATTTCACCATTCACCTGGATTAGTATCATATTCAATACACTTCACATTATTATTTATTACTGTATTTGAAATTTTTTATTAAGTGCAATCTAGGATCAATTTTATTTCGTGTTATAATTCAAGTATCTAATTAATACCTTCATAGGTTTCTGATCATCCTGTATAAACCACACCAAGATTTTCAGCAGGCTATATAAAGATGTTTGACTAGTATTTATGTTTCCAAAAATATATAGGGCTTTAACATAACGATATGTTATTATTTTTTAAATAATAAACCAACTTGCATTAGTTATTTATTAAGTTATGTTATTAAAATCAAGTTACAAACATAGGAAATCATAAGATCCGTAATATGATTTTAATGGCAAACCTCCTATATTGTTGATTAAATTATTTCATAATAAAAGGTTTTAAATGTGGTGTGGTAAATGACAAAATACTTAAATTTTATTTATTATACTTTTTTTAAATTTAATCGATTTTTATTTTAATTGACGAATTTTTTTTAAATCAAAAATTTTAAATTACCGATATGGTGAACGACGCATCTTAATAGTTTTGGGAAACTTTGCTGTATTATTTTAAATAATGTCTGCAAATTCAAAGCTTTGAACTTTTTTATTTTATTTTTTTTTAATTTTTTTCTATGAACGCAAGAAAGATCACTGTGTAAATACATTTATTTATTACTGCACATTTTACGAACAATGTATCTATCTCACAGGAGTTGAATACACGGAAAATGTGTATATAAATAAACGGGAAAGTATAATTAAAAGTTTTCGAAACGTCTATTTATATTCAGAAATAATTATATGGTTGGTTTTGTAATTTGATTTTATAGTAAAAAACATATTATCATGCAATAATATAAAAATATTCGGCACTTATTTTCTTTGCACATGCTGATGATTACATTTAAAATATTTTTCATTTTCTAATACTGAAAAAGAATTCAGTCAACTGATAGATTTGAATGAAAATATATGACAAATAATATGAATATTTTTTTTCTTATAAAAAAATTATGAAGGAAACGAATATTTTCACAAAGATCAGTTTCACATGATGTGGATTTGCTTGGCGAAGCGATGAACTATATTTCTATGCATCGTTTCCAGCTCATAATTTGATTCGCTACGTTATTTTTTCCTTTCATAATACTCGCGCTCCGGACTTTCTGAAACATTCTCTAGCTTATATATCATAAGAAAAAGATCGACGGAAAATTTAATTTCTCGTTTTTCTAACGAGTATTATAACTTTCTTAATATCCTTCTATCTCAAGCATTTTGTATTTCATAATGATTTTATATTAATTATACTTAAGCTCATTACATTATAAAAGTCAATAAGGGAGTTCTCAACAGTAATTAAGCATTCTTATAATTACTACAAATTTAGGTCATTATTAACTAACCGTCGAGGCCGATAAATATTATTTTTTTGACCGAGTCAAAAAAAAAAGAAAAAAACAAATATCCTTACCGCAAACCTAAAGAAAAATAAAAGAAAAGAGAAAACAAAAAGAAGATTATAGAATTGTAATTTGTTGAGGTTTATACTGTATATTAGGCTTTACACATTTTTTTTTAAAAAAAATGAAATTGCAATGAAATACTAATACAAAGAAATAATGTTAAATGAACCAAACCTTCATTCTTACGTAATTAATAACTTTTATTTTTATGAAATTTATTTTACAACTCATTTTCAAAAATATTGTCTCTACGCAATGATTTCAAATTTAATATTATCAATAAAAATGAGAAAGTTTAATCCCGTGTTCTAGTGAAATGCTACGTTTCTGTGGTACAAAATAAGTAAATATTTTTTAGCTTATCGAGGAACATTCATTTTAAATCTATTAAATAAATTTAAGAAATTCTCTTTAACATTAACAGATAATTCTTTGTCATTTCTTTAATTAAGAAAATCGATATTTTATTAATATATTTAATTTATATAATCCACGTGCCAAACGTTTTTTGATAGTTATGCTGGGAAATAATATCTCCCATTTGAAAATTAGGCGGCAAGACGAAAGTAATATAGTAGGGTTGACTAATTGGGTATTGTATGGTAATAATTTTGATGTTGAGTATGCATGATTTTTCATACTTAATTCTAGGAGATAACGTTAATATTAGTAGGTTAAGTTAGGGTTAGATCTATTTAGTATAAACATACTCACATTTTACGTGATATAATATAATTATTTGACCAACCATACTCTACTTCTATTCGTATTACTCGAAATTAGCTATATAAGATACACACATTAAGATAGATAAAATTTCGATAGATCTTACTTTCTAAAATGTAATGATTGAAAAGGTTCAAGATTAGTTGACAATAAATTATTTTAAATTATTAGAATACAATTTGTATTACTTGACTTGAAATAAATGAATATTTCGCTACTTTAAGAATTGCCATAAGTAAATGAGATTAAAATTTAATCATTATCATTATAATTTAATAATATTGATGTGTAATGTGCATGTTATTGTATCGTTAGTATCCAGAATTTGCCATGGAGGGTATCACTACTTCAGGCAAATGTTGCTCGCCATCATCATATTCAGTTGGAATATTAGGCAATGGCTTTTCCCTCTTTTGATTCCATCTATAAATTAAAAATCCACAGATAATAATAATAATAACGATGATGCTGGAAATTGTACCAATTAAAGCAATTATAGTTTTCTTCTCATTATGGACATCGGATTGTGCTGATGATTGTGTTGAAGAAGGTTCATTTTCTTTTTTTATTGTTATTTCAAACGAATTAACCCACGTATAATTTCTAATGTCCATGATAAAAAGTTTAGAATTCATTAATAGTGGATCAGAATTTAGCTGCGTAATATTTCCTAAATATTAATAATTTTTTTTTAATATTTCAAATATTTAACACAAAGTAATATCAAAAATTCCTTACCAAATGCTACAATCATATAATTCTCAACAATATCAGCTGTATGAGCTGTAAGTGATGGAAATTGACCAATATTTGATGAAGCTAGTAACGCAGTTAGTTCAAATTGTTCTGTTTCCATAATGCACATGAATAGTTCAGGAACAGCTCGAACTAAGGTATTACCAAGGTACTTAGAGCCTCCATAAATTATGATTTTACCATCTGGTGCTTTAATGATAAAAAGGTAATAAATAAAGATTTAAAATGCATTACGACCTATTAAAGTAATCATGTACCTAACACCGCAGTATGATCAACACGACCTTCAATCATGCTTGAAGTTTTCGCTACCTATAAATAAATGTAATGCATTAGTTTAATTATGAATAATTTTTTTTTCTGAATATAAACATTATTATACATACTTTTACTGACCAGTTTAAGGAGTTTGTATCATATAAATAAACTACTGAAATATCAATAATTTGTTTATCATCCATACCACCTATATATATGATAAATCCATTCGTTAGTAGCGTTGCAGTGTAACCATTGCGTCCGCATCAATTGGAGTACTAATTAACCATGATAATGCGACAGTATCAAAAATGACCATATCATTAAAATTCGTAAAATTGTAGTCGAACCCTCCAAAAATATACATTTTTCCAGTATTATCAATAACACTATCTACAATTAAACGTTTTTTAGGTGGAGTTGCTTCAACATCTGGTATACTCCAGATTGAAGAATTTAAATTAAATGAATGAACATTTGATATAAAAGTATTTTGATCTGTAGGATAATACATTCTTCCACCAAATAAATAAATAATTTGTTGTCTATAATTGAATGAAACAGTGGCCCAACAGCTTCTGAATAATAGTCCCGCATTTAATGTGAGGTCAACCCATGGCGGGTTCACCAAATTAAATGATTGGGATGCATCAAGATAGAACACCTCATTTGTGCAAAAACCATCATCCCTTTCTCCACCGAAAAAATAAAGTTTATTTCCAACAAGAGCTGAGGAATGAGCTAAAAATAAGAACAATTTATATTTTTTACAAGTCATAATTTCATTTAAGCAAGTGATTTTTTAATAAATTAATAACAGGACTGTTTAAAAAAAAAATAATGTAAAGTGGAAAAACAAAAGCTTCATTATAATCCTATATTTGGACTATTTATATTCAACCAAATGTAATGTTACACGATGTGATAATTTAAATGCCTCTACGATTGGCGCAACAACTGCGGTGCATATCAAAAATATATATCAGACATATCTTATTTATTTTATCTATCTGTTTTATTTATTATATTTGTTTTATTTATTATTCTATTATATTTGTTTTATTTATTATTCTATTATATTAGTTTTATTTGTTTGTTAAATTTATTATGTCTGCTAGTAAATTGAATTGAAACAACGATTTTGTATAAATAGATCGGGAATTCAATCTAGAGAAAAATAGAGAAAATAGCAAGTTGTAAAAGTTTCTCTCAAAAGATTTAATTAGACTATTCTAGTTTGTGACGATAAGTCTAAAGAAAAGGCTTGTATAATTCCTATTAATAAAGTTTTTTATTTTACCCTTTCAATCTTCTTCGTGTCTTCACTAGCGAATCGTAATAATTAAATACTATATAATTATACAACGGACGAACTAAATAAAAAGATAAGAAGTGTTGAATTGAAAAACCGTTTTTAAAAAGTATGGTCGATCATTTTTTATTACTGACAAAAATCAAAAAATATATCTATACACGAAAATTTTTTTCTTCCCAACTTATTGCTTTTTATTAATTTTATAAAGATTGTTTATAATAGAGCTTTTATGTGTAAAAATATTTTTAAAAGTAAAAAAAAGTGCTGCAACTACACTTAACACTTGAGAATACATTGCGATTACAGGACAACTACACGCAAAAACAGAGATTCGGCTATGATTTAAGTAATTTATATAGCCTAAGTTCTGTTTAAAATGTTTTAAATAGTTTTTTATGATAAATACATTTTAAAAGAAAACAAAATTATATTTAAACGTTTTATTTATTATTTTTTTTTAATACAATTTGCAAGCAGTTTTGTTTTTGTATCAATTATTGTTTCAAGTCAAATATATTTTTTTGAATGTTTAGAATTTTGTTAACGCATTTCAAAAATTTAAAATTGACATTTTTGAAATTAACCAACATTGTGCATGACATGACATGAAATGGATGGACAATATGTTACGTAATGGCAGCCCAATGCTAGTGTTTTATGATATTTTTTTACATTAAATAAATTAAAAGATTAAAACAAATTTAATGGAATAGGATATGAAGTTAAATATGGATAAAAATATTTAGAAAGAAGTTATATTTTTAAAAAATTTCATTAATTTATACAGTACTTATATTTAATTTTAATGATCTACAAGATGATCGACAAAATAAAATAAAATTAATAAATTATCACGCATTTAGGACGCATTTCAGACCTAACTCTATGCTTTCCTTCTTGTCGTATAGAAAGCCGACAATTGACAATTGAGGCAATACTTTATTTATCTTTTTTAGATTAGTATTTCGTAGCTATTAATAAATTACATCGCTCACCTTTGCATTCGTTTTCAACCTATAAAACTTAAAGATTAAAAAAAAAATAATGACCCTATAAACATTAAGGAATGCACATAATCATTGTAACACAAATGCGTTCGTTAATGTCCTAATTGATTCTACTTAATGACCACAACGCATTTGGAATTTGTAATTTGGGGCTACAATTAACAAGGATTACTGTTATTTTATGCAAAGCTTGCTTATAACTTTGTAAAATTAATCTTTAATTAATACCCAAAAAAGTAATTATCGATATAAATAAGATTTTACTCATGAGGCGCGACTCCGATTTCTGCGCTACACTATCAGTCAAAATTCTATCTATCATACAAAATCATTTTATTACCTAAAAAAAAGTATGATATAGAATTCATACGTCCCTCTTTTGTCAATTTATTGCTTGGAGGCGCATTACTAAAAATAAATTAGAAAATTTAATTCGAAGCTTTATTTCGTCCTATTTCAGTTAATTAAAAACAAGATTTTTTTTGCGCCTGCATGTTTGCTTTTGAAACACTTTTTATTTGAGTAAAAACAATGGAATGTGGGAAGATGTAATGTAAATGAATATTCCTTTTCTAGATCAACAATCGATATACTGTAGATGGTAATTTGAATGAGATGGAACGTTTATATTATTTGTGTCACAAAAGTTAAATTTATTAGCCAATCAAAAAAAATCCAAAATCTTCATTAATCAAGAAAGCATTCAGATTAAAAAAGTTTTTTTTTCGTTCGCATTTTTTTCTTTATTGGGATAAATTAAAGAATAATAATGGAAATAAATAAAAAGATTAGTTTCCCCATTTTTCAACATTTTTAATTTTTTAAAAAAAGAATTCAAGTTGTTAAAATTTAAAATTAATTTAGGATGCAGTTTGCACACCGCACTCTATATTTTGTATTTATCATCAATTTGTTTGTGTCCTATAACCCGACGCTATGCAAAACATATAAGCATACTACAGAATATCTTCTCAATAATCATCTCTTTTACCTCGAACCACCGCAAACGGCCTTTTCTCTAGACATCAAACCCATAAGTTGTCCTGATAAATGTGACTTGAAAAAATTATATTTGGTTGCTAGACACGGTAATTTATAAATTTATGCAAAATGTATAAAGTTTTAAAAGCATGAAATAACTTCTGTCAATTATTAGGATCAAGATATCCAGATCCAAATAGTATTACAATTTATGACGGATTGGAAAAAATATTTACTAATGTTTCCGTTGCAAAAGATTGGGTAAATAATCTTATAATTAAGTCATAGAATTCTGTATAAAATAAAAATTATTTGTCGTGTTTAACAGGGAGATCTATCATTTTGATTGCCTTTTTAGTATAAAAATCCTTTCCCAATGAGGAAAAATTATCAATTATCCAAACGAGGAGAAATCGAACCTTATTTTGATGGTTTACAATCCCGTAAACGATACGCAAAATTTTGGGACGGAGTTGAATATGATCCCGAAGTTATAAAATTTGAAAGCACTCAAACTTCAAGGTACAATTTATAAAGTATACATTTAATTTCGCATAAAACATTTCATTACTTTAATAAAATAACAATGATGATTTAATATTCTGATTTAAGGACCGGTGCTTCGATTATGGCTTTTTCCGAAGGATTATTCAATGGCAAGGGCCCTTTAGACACTTGTAAAAGTCAACCTATATATTATCTGACTTCACCAAATGTAATATATATATTTTTTATTGTAACACTTATAAAATAATTTTTTTTTTATCAAATCCGGTTCATTAACTTTTCGTATATTTGTAGTCTGAGTTTATCTGTCCACGTTGGAACGAGACCGTTTTGAATAATAATAAATTACTAGGTGAGCAAATATACGCTTATGGTAACAAGACTCTAGCACCAATTGCCAAGCGACTTTCCGAAGAATACGGCATTAGCCCACCTCTTAATCCACGTCTAGTACCACAAATTTTCAATTATTGCCAATTTTGGCTCGCGGTTTATAATCGAACCGATGCATGGTGTTCACTCTTAAGTCCCAACGAACTATTATTATCACGATATTATTTCGATATGGTCTCTTATTATCAATATTCATATGGTCATCCTCTTAATGAACGAAAAGGTTGTAGATATTTCACTCAACTTGTGAATGGAGTTGATAATTATTTAAATGGTAATTCTAGTACGATTGCTGAAATAATTAATACTCATGGTTCTACTATTTATTCGATACTTACTACATTGGTGTGTGAAAATTTTTCATTTTTTTCATTTTATTTTAATATTTTTTTTTATACATAATTAACTTGTTCATTAAATATTTATAAATTAAAGGGAGTATTCAAAGACAAAATCCCACTCACAGCAAATTTAACCTTTGAACAAATTAAAGATGTCAAATTCACAGAAAATAGACTTATACAATGGTCTTCTACGCTTTATTTCGAAATTTATAAGTGTTCCGATGATAGCGTACTGATACGAGTGTTACTCGATTTTAAGCCTTTTTGGATTCCGGGTTGTGAGAGTGAATATTGCGAGTGGAACAAATTCAAAGAGATTCTTGGAGATAAGATTGGGTGCGATTTTGAAAAGATGTGCGAGTATCCTTAAAGGTTGATTAATTATATTTGGATATATTTATTTTATCTTTCTTAAATAATAACAAATTTATAAAAATATATGTACCATTTATTTACCTATGATTCTTTTAAATTTGCAATAAAAATTTAAATACTAACGTTTATAAATTATTACGTGTTTCACGAACTAAAAACTGTTATATATCTAAAATTTGTTTATTAAATGTTAGAGATTTTATGGCATTCCTTATTGGTCCTATTTTTATTATCGTATAGGTCAAAGACCGCAATATACGATAAAATTTATAATAAATTTGTTATCAATACTAAGAATTAATCAGAATTATTACTTTTTACTGGTAGTGAAGAATTCGCTGGTGAAACGCTTACTCTACCAGATTATATACAAACTTTGCAAAATGTTAACACAATTTATACGATTTGATATTTATCCCGTTCAAGTGCAATTTCATTTGGATATACAATTGAGCTCCCAACTGACCAAGAAACATCAGCTCGCTTTTATTTGTCACACTAGAGAATTGACTGCGTCTAATTTAATCGATGCAGCAAAAAAAAAAATTTGAAAAGCCCGAAATAGCTGTAAAGTTAAAAACAAATTTTAAATATTTTAACGAGAAAATTTTCATGCTAGTGTAGTTGGGAGTCAATTCTTAAGAGCCAGAATATTAAAGTGACGACCTAATGAAAGAAAGGGGTACTACTTGTCTATAGAAGTAAACTACCCGGGACAACAAACGAGCAATGAATTATATTTCGCATAAAACCTTGCGCACCGATTTGGGAATCGTTAAAATTTTGTAAACAAAATAGTAAAGTTATTTGGATTTAGACATAGTTTTTGGGTACGCCATGTAATTTCTTAAATTAGTAATTAGCTTGCAAATAAAAGTAAACACAATAAATAAAATTTTTGTAAAATTTTGTTTCGTTATTGTACTTTCTTTTCTTTCATTGTTTCTTTTGTGAATTAGATAAGTTCGTCGCTTAAGAATACAGCGATCGAATATTTCTTTATTTTTGAGTCGATTGAGTTTCGTCTTTATATCTTCGTGCTGCAACGATAAATCTTTTACATATTTCTTTTTTTAAATTATATTTTTATTTAAATTATTCTAATTTTTTTTATTTATTATTGTATTTTTATTTTGATACTGGATTTTTTTTTTATTCTTATTTTTTAGATGGGTTTTTTATTTTATTTTACTTTAGTCAATTTCTTCCGGTTAGATCATTTTTATTTCGCATAGGTAAAGTTTGTTTTTTTATTTTAATTTATTAGATGGTTGGATGGCTGCGAGTTGAACAAATGATTTGTTTCTTACTCTAAAAATTTCAAATAATTGATGCAAACTTTTAGTAAATCACCAACTTTTTTTGTAGGTGTACAGTAGATCATTTCTTTAAACAAAAAATCGCGTTGAAGATTGAAAAGAATTAAAGTTAGAATAGTTTGTCACAATGGAATTAGCTAATACAATGGGAACAATTATTCTTACCCTAAAATATTCAATTTCCATAAATTATTTTCTAACCACCTAAAAAAAAAAAAAACCTTGCAACTTTCTTGAATTCAAAAAAAAAACTAATTGATGGTTGCATTGATTTTCTTTTTTTATTTTTTTTTTTAAACAATTTTTTTATAAGATCGTAATATATTTTTTTATAATTACAATATATATTAACTATAAATCAATTGTAGTTATCATATTTCTTTTTGAATAAATCTACCGTTGAATCAAATAAAGTTAGATGGTTAATAATCCATTGGCGATATGATGATGATGTTAAATATATATTTTTTAATTTTAAAAAAATCACGTGAAATGTATTAAAAGCGTGCACGAAAAAGAATGTTGTAGTTATCGCGAAATTGTTAAATTTAACATCTGTCCGGTTAATTTTTAACCGGTTGATTAACCGGTTAAGACGTTTATCTTGTTACCCAGTTAAAGATTTTTTTTAACCGGTTAAAATAACTAATGTTAACTCTGGCCGAAATTTAATTTTCGGGCAGAATTAAAATTTTTTTGCAATTACTAAATTTGCTAGTTTTACCCAAATTTATAGTGCCGGCCTGAGTTAAATTTAACCGGTTAATTAACCGGTTAAAGAAATTTTTATCCGGTTATTAACCGGTTAAGGATTTTTGGGCCGATTCCAACCTCGCTATTTCAAATCTGGCTTGCCGGAGAAAATTTTTTTTTTTTTTTGTGTATTAAACATATTTGGTTTGTTTGAGATATCATTGCAAACGCGGTAATTTTTTTTTATTTTTAGACATTATACATTCAAATAAAAATAAATTCATAAACTAGCAAGTTAGTTATTGAGAAAAAGAAGGTATAACATCGTTTAATAATTTAACAAAACTAAATCAACACGTTTGGAGAGATTTGAAGGTGCATAAATAATAGAAATAATTTTATAGATTACATAACTTGGATAAATGCATTGATAATCAATCGCGAAAATTTTCAACTAAAATATGTAAGCTGGTTTAATTAAAATGCATAAGAGGCGCAGTAATTAATTACAACTTGGCCGCGTATTTAATTACTAATAGAATACCTTTGGGCTGTGGATTGATTTTTCCAGCTTTATCTTTTAGTATTCTCTCTCACTTTTTATAACCCAATAAAAAATTTTCGTCCGAATATTTCTCGTGGCTTACGTAAAATTTCCGTAAAAATGAGCCCTTCACGGAAAAAACATGGAAAACGATCATCATTTTTTATAGGTAAGAAATCTGGTAATCTGAAGTCTAAGCCTGTATTAGACCGGTAATTATCTAGAATTGCTTAGCGAAGCGAGGCTGTGAAGCCAAGCCATTTTTTAATATTGGAGGCTGTGTTCTTTTTTGCATTTAACTATATTTCACAAAAATCATTTTCTCCGAACCGAACTCACACGAAAATTATATTCTACGCTAAAAACGTTATTAACTCGTACAATAATAAAGATTTTTCAGTTCAGGTTTCCGGGTTCACTTAATACTTATTGACGAGTAACTTAATTTAATTCATGTCGTAAGTAGAATACACTCGATTCTTTTAAATACTGTTCTTAAAATTATTTAGCTTTTTTATCTAAATTGATTAATAATCAATGAAGTTTAATAAATAAAATTAAAACAAATAATTCCAACATTGAAATTTTCCTGTATAAAATTATTTTATGATAAATAATACAAAAAATTGTTTCATTTATCAATTAATAAATAATGAAAAAAATTGTTTCATTTATCAATTAATAAATAATGAAATATGCGTATTAGGTTTGGTCATAAAAAACTTTTTGATGAAAAAAGTTTTTTTCAGATTAAAGGAATTGTTCAAAAATCTTAACAATAAATTGTTTACAAATAATTTAAGAATGTAATTAAGACAATTTTTTCCATTAAAAATTCACAACACATACAAAATACAGAGATTATATGACAATGCTAGGACATAATAAATATATGTTACTGATTAAGGATGAAAAAGGTTGTCATACTGAATATATATGCAAAATTATTCAATTGATTTTGCAAATATTAAAAGAAAAAGTAATATCTTATTCAAGATAAATAATAATTTTATATCATTTTTGATATTAAACTCAAACATTTTTAAGAGGTATACTGACTGACTGAACTCTAGCAGATAAGAATAGTATCAATTCTAAATGAGTCAACTTGAGTCAGTTCTAGAACTAACTTTAAATTTAGCAGATTTTGATTCTCCAGAGTGAAATCTAACAATTATTAAACATGAAACAGGAACTGAATCTGAAACTGATGCTCAAATCAGTTTGGCATTAATGTTATAATAATAATAATCAACTATTATTTGATAACCAATCAAAAATTTTTTCATTAACCTTTCATCTCGCAAGATGAGCCTTATTTCTACAAGCATATGATTTTACTATTAAACATAAACCAGGTGTTAGGAATCAAAATGCTAATACATTCTCCTGAATAGTTCCAATAGTTCCAATCAATATGGCATTAACTGATGAATGTGAAGAAAAGCATAGCCGATGGATTCAAATACACTTTTCTGCACTAAATGTTCCTGAATGTCAAATGAAATAGCAATAGAATGGATTGCATAATAACAGAATATATCGCAAGAATAATCACGCTTATAATAAGAATAATCATTACTCTCATTGGTATTGCACCGAATATTATCAATCTGCCAACTCATATAGAAACTACATATCTTCGCCAACAGAACATACCATCTGTAAATATAATGAACATGAATATCACGAATATCTAAATATGATATCTGATAAAGAAGAAGTATAAAATGAACAACCATCTGAACAAGTAGAGAATAATAGTAAATCAGAATTTAACTTCAATGAAGAAAAAATTAAATCCATTCTCAATGGAAAAGGATAAGATTGGAAACAAGACTTGTACAATATTTTCTTAAAAGCTGCTGAATTTAAACATATCATTATCAAACAAATAAATAGTAACCATTTCAAAGAATTTGCTCAAGAATATTCTGTTAATTGTATCCTTTGTGGAATAATTATTATCACTGACTTAGACTATGAATGTATTGTGGGCTATAACCTTAGACAAATACACCCTGAAATTGTATCCAATACTCTGATTAATAAAGTATTCTGGGATATATCAGAAAAAGTATAACAAAATGATAAAGCTTGTATTGCAGTGATCGAATTATTGAAACCAACTAAAAATCCTCAAACACGTGATTAGACTGAAAATAAATTGGATAAAATGTTTAGACCTTTCCACCAATTATTACTCCTGTCTATTTTTCAACTATTGACGAAACTTTTAATAGATCTAGCATCCCTAATTATTAAATATTTATCTCTATATAGTTTATTTATTTGGTTATAATTTAAATATTAACCTAACAAAATCATAATAGTTATAAAATATTTTATCATTTTAAAGAAATAACACCTAGTTGAATAGCATATAGTGAGTAAAATCTCAAAATTTGAATAATTTAATTGAATGTAAGCAAAAATGTAAGCATTGTGACTTATAGCTCAATTATTCAATATGTATATATAACAATACTTTCAAATACAACAATGTTTAAGTCATAATAAATATCCTGATTATGTTCACTCAAATCAGAAAAAGAAAAAGTTCGTCAACATGATCAAATACTAATTTATATCAATATGATAGAAGATGAGCTGGATACCTTTTACAAGTTTTCAAATGGTATAAATTAGAACTAATATTATATATGATGTATAACGACCCTACAGCAGAATAATTTGGAATTAAAATAATGATTAACAAACTTAGAACACAATATTATTGGCCACAAATGTATAAAGATATCAAAACATACGTTAAAACTTGTAATTCTTGCCAACGTAGAAGAAGACCAAGTAAAAACAACAAATTACATTATATTCCACCCTATAACCCTTTTTTCATATAGAAATAGATTTGTTAGACTCCTATCAATTACTCCTCAAGGAAATAAATATATTATTGTATGTTTATCAAATAGTCTGAGGCAAAAGTTGTTAAAGAAGCAACTGTCAGCCAAGTTGCTCAATTCATCTACGAAGATATTATTCGTAGACATGGCTGTCCTATGAAAATTCTAACTGATAATGATACATACTTTAATAATGCAATAATAAAAGAATTAATGGAAAAATTTGGAATTAAATATCATAATTCCACTCTTTATCACCCGCAAACAAATGGACAAGTGTAACAGTTTAACAAAACTTTAAAGGAATCATTAGCAAAACTTATCAAAGAACAAACTGAATGTGACTTATACATTGCTCCTGTATTATTTGCTTATCGTACAGCTTAGCAGTCATTCACAAAAATGTCACCTTTTCTGCTAACTTATGAAAGAAAAGCCAAATTACTTTTGGATGATTATGTAAATCAATAAGACAAAAATTCGATTGACAGAATTCGTCAAATTATAGATAAATTACCTTAAATTAGAGAAAAAGCAAAATCAGTGCATTAAGAAAGTCTTTGGACAATTTCCCGTGACTAAATTAGATTTGCATAAATTTTCAATTTTAAGTTAAAATTCTGTTAACCAAAATAGTATTTATTGATTATTGAATCAATCTTTTTTTCTTTGTAGCATATTGAACTTATTACCACATTTTTTTTTAGAATTAAACGAAATATGAATGTTTGTCAAGACGTACATGCAAAAGCAATCCAGCAATTATGGGATAGATGAATACAAAAGACAAAGGAAATTAAAAAACGAACAGGTATCTCAAGGTCTACTATATACTATAATCTTACTAAACAAAAAAATGGAAGCATAACTCACCGAAAGCGTAGTGGTCGCCTTCCAAAATCTCTTCCAAAAACTCTAAAATATTAGTCTGAGAAGTAAAAAAGAACCCTACAATATCATCAAAATAGCTAGCTACCAAATTATTAAAAAAAAGAAGTTCAGGTCTCTCATGTAACCATTTGGAATCATTTAAGCTAACTTGGCTATAAAAAAAACCGAGCGGAGGTGACACCCATGCTTACTAAAGAACACATGCAAAAATGTGTAGAGTAGGCAGAAAAATATCTCAATAATAATTGGAACTGAACAGTATTTTCTGATGAAACAGCTTTTCAGTTGTTTAGGAATATGGTAAAATATTGGTATAAAGGTGAATGGCCGATATGACGAATTCTAAAAGATAAAAAAAATTTTAGCTTGGGAAGGGTTTTGGGTAAAAGGGATGACAAGTTTTTTTTGTTTCCAAAGGATAATGGATAGTTTGTTTTATGTTGAAATTTTAAAAAAACACTTTCCTGAAATTAAAAAAAAGCTTGGGAGTCGCTGGCAGCTCCAACATAACAATGATCCTAAGCATAAAAGTAAAGTAGCTAAAGCGTTTCTAGAAAAAAATGCCCCAATAGTAATAGATTGGCCTTTTAATAGTCCCGATCTAAATCCTATAGAAAATTTATGGAGTATTATCAAGGGAAATGTTGAAAAATGGTGGCCAAAAAATTTAAATGAATTAGAACAATTTATGAAGGAGGAATGGAAAAAAATCTCAGAAAGCATTCTGGCGAATTTGGTGGGATCAATAAAGGAGCGTTGTAGGCTTGTAATTAAAAAAAATGGGGAACGTATTTCATATTAAATTTTTGTAAATAAAAATAATAAAACTTATATCTTTTGGCTTTCTAACGATTTATTTTTCACGTGATTTGGCAAAGTCGTTTTAAAATTATTAACATTTGAAGTTGTCTAAAGACTTTCTTAATGCACTATATATAATCATTTAATTTTTTTTTTCTATAAGGTTAATTTTGTTAATTTTTTACACAAATAATTTTTTTTTAATTCACAATGGAATCAATTTTAACTACAATTACTTCTATGTAACAAATATTATTAGTAAATTTTATAATAATAATTTTCCTTTGCTACACTTAAGTTAATAAATATTATTAAAAAAAATTTATAGAAGATTAAGAAGCAAAATAATGCTAACGCCAATACTAATACCAATACCAATACCAATACCAACACCAATACCAATACTAACATTAATACCAACACCACTAACCCCTATTAAAAAACCAATACAATGATATATTTCTGCTAAGAAAATTTAGAAAGTTTTTCAAATAGACAAAATGAAGTATCAAAACATTTTAGTAAGAATAAATAAATTATAAATATTATATTATTTATAATATTTATTTTTATTTTTTTATTTTTTCAAGTCAGAGGATTGTTTTTGTATGTTATCTTTGAAAGTTGATTTTAAGATCAACTATAAAAACTAAGACATAATTCTTCTATCAAAAATGATAGAAAAGGTATATAAAGTATTTTGTTATTTAGCAGTTAGGATAATATTAATTATTATATTGTAACAATTGTTCAGAAAAAGAAATCCTACAATTTAAATTGGAATGGGAAGTTGGTTAATAAAAGGAAATATTGAAAATACTTATAACATTATCATGATTATAATAATCATAAAGAAAATAAAGAAAATAATGATGATGATGATGATAATAATCAACTTTCTATTCAAAAAAAAAGAAAAAATATAGTATGAATTATATAACCAACTTCCATAAAAAAAAAAAATAAAATAATTTATTAATCAATTATTATTTATTATTATTTTTTAGATGAGTTTTCTTCTCCTCTTACTTTACCATCACCATCATCATTACATTTTCATTTAGTATATAATGAAAGTTTAGGTAATTTTATTATTTTTTTTAAAAAAATAATAAAAAACCAAATATATAAATTTAATTTAATTTATCATTATTTCTTTTTTTATTTATTTTATAATACTTATAGAAGATGACAATGATATCACCACCAATATTATTGCTGATACTACCACTACCACCAATATTGTTGCTGATACCACCACCATTACAAATATTATTGCTAATACCACTATTACTAGTATTTCTGCTATCTTCAAAGTTATTGTAAACAAAGTTACTATTACTCCTAAAGTTGTTGCAAATAAAGTTACTACTGCTTTCAAAGTTGCTGTTGTCTTCACCTCCAAAGCTGCCACTAATAAAGTTGCTGCTATCCCCAAAGTTGCTTCAAAAAAGTAATTTTTATATTTATTTTTAATATTACATTGTGAAATAATATATATAAAATAATATAATAATATAATAATAATTTAGAAAAATCAAGAAATATGAAAATTTATTGTATATATTTGAATAAATATTTATTTTATCTTTAAATTTTAATTTTAAATTGTAAAACTCTTATTTTATATTATAATTGATTAATTCATATAGAATGAACGAAAATTTATTTTTATTTTTTATTTTATTTTATTTTAATAAAAATTTATAATTAATTTCAAAAATTATATTTATTTAATAAATATGTAAAATTGCAACTAAAATTATGTATATAATTTAATGTTTATGTGATAAAATCTAATCAAAAATAACGTATTTAATATTATTGTTAAATGTATAAAATCTAACCAAAAATAACATATACAATATACTGATTAGACGCAAAAAATCTATGTAAAATAACATATAGAATATACTGATTAGACATAAAATCTAACCAAAAATAACATATATAATATACTGATTAAATGCAAAAAATTTATGTAAAATAACCTATACAATATACTGATTAGACATATAAAATCTATATAAAATTACGTATACAATATACTGATTAGACGTATAAATTCTGTATTTTTCTGCATACAGAAAAGTCAATTTGGGTTAGTACGTATGAAAATCATGCTGCGAGACTATATAAATCATATGATCAAAACCTGATTTTTGTACGTACTAACCCATTTTCAGTATCTAATATACAGAAATATTTACAAATTTATTATACTGCTTTTCTACGTTTATTACATATTTTTAAACATATTATTTCTGTATGCTTTTTTTATACAGATTATTTATAGAGAAGTGTTAGTTAAAAAAATTGATTTAGCTATTTTAACAATTGAAAAAGATTGTGATTTAAATATAATAATAATTAATAAAATAAGTTATGCTTGAATTTTTTTTAACCATAAAGAGTGTTTACATTAGTATACATGTATAAATCTATCTTAAAGGCATATATATATTCTGAAAATGTAAGGTCAATTTGGTTAAATTTGTTGAATTCTTTTGATGAAGAAGATGAC